GGGGGGCAGCAGGCGGTGGGAAAGGATGGAGACCCAGCCGGCATGGCATCACGGTGCAGGCACCCCACCCCGGGGGGACGCATCCCAAACCGCCATCCCTTGGTCCGGGGTTGGGGGGTGGGGGATAAAAATAAAGCACGCGGGACAGCAGCTCCGTCCGGGATGCCTGTTATTCCTGGGAAGGTGAAAGATGTCAGCGTCCTGGGAAAAGCACACCCAGCAGCCCTCCTGCTGAGCCGGAGCCGTCCCCGTGCCAGGGGCAGCCCCAGCCTGGTCCCTGCCTGGAGGGGACCCCGGCGAGGGTCCGTCCCAGTGCAGGGACAGCGGTTTGCCGGGCTCCGAGCGGGCAGCGCGGGGGGCCAGGGCATGCCCAGGCGTTGGGTTTCCCGGTGGGTGCTGCCAGGGTACCTGCTGGGGCAACGTCCCCATGGGTCACGGAGAGGGAAGAGCAGCAGAGGGGAGGGAGGAAGGTGATGGGGGGCTCGGGGTGGGCGATGGAGCAACGGGAAGGGGATGGAAAGGGAGAAGAGGGGCTGAAGGGCAGGAAGGCAGGAGGCAGCAGGGAAAGGGTGGATGGTCCCGGCAGCTCTCCACACCCCAACTCCACCTTTCCTGTCAGGAGAGTGGGGACTGGCAGCAGGGGGGACACAGCGCAGCTTCTCCATGCCCGGAGCATCGGGCACCCAGGTGGGCCCTCGACCCCCTGACCGTAGCAGCGTGCATTGCCCACCACCGACCATCAGCAGGAGAAGCCACGGAGCCGGGCTGATCCTGACCCTGACTGCAGCCCCCAGCTCCACGGGATGGGGGGACCAAAGTACCAGCTCGGGGTCAAGCCAGGAACGCAGGGAAAAGGGATGCATTTCCCAAAATAAACTCTGAAAAACCTCATGCTCTGAAAACCCCCCAACCCTGCCCCTGCCCCCCTTTAGGTGGGGAGGAAAAAGTGAATCCCGCTTCACTGCAGGATTGCATCCCAAAGCCAGAGCGGCTCTTTGAGTGAAAACCTCCCCGGGGGCCAGAGAGCGGTGGGCTCCATCAGCGCCTGGGGCTGGCCGGGCACCGGCCGTACTCCACCACCGCACACCAGCCCCACCGCCGGGGCACCGCGCGGGGCCGGAGCCCG